ATGGGTCACCATACTTGGCCACATGTCACTTCACTTTCACTAAATGTATTGAATGGATGTGTGGTTATATTATTTTCCAATGAAAAAATATAAATGTGTAAACTAATAAATAGTAGGCCTATTCTGAATTGACTTGTGGTTAAATTATTGAGCTTTTATTTTACAATGTGTGCTTTTATTGTGTAATGCGTGCCTTTGACTTTTATTTTGAAAGCCATAAAAAGGAGAAGGGTGTTCCTGCACAACCGGAGGCTGCAGTTTCAGGACCGCAGTTCTAGGACCCTATGCTTTTGTAACAGCGCCACCTACCGAATTGGATAATATAGCGTATTTTAAATTTAAATGAATTTACACTTAAAATATAAATGAAATATGTATTTCAGTCTTTAAACAGCTGAAAAAGTGGAGTACCTTAAGTCTTAGTTTCTTGAAATATACTGTAAATTGAAACCGTTTTAAATTCATTTTAAACCTCTTAAATCAAATTTTTAATCATTTTCAAAGCTTTTAAATTCCTTGTTTTATTGTTGTGATTATTTTTTTTTTCTTTTCTTTTATGTAAAGCACTTTGAATTACCATTGTGTATGAAATGTGCTATATAAATAAACTTGCCTTGCCTTGCCTTGCCTTGCCTAAAGGTAGCCTAAATGAAAGCCTAGTCCAGAGCATTCAGAACCTCGGACTGGGCAGAAGGTTCACCTTCCAACAGGACAATGCACACAATGCAAGAATAGCTTATGTACAACTGTGTGAATGCCCTGGACCAGCCCGAGCCTGGGCTTGAACCCAATCAAACATTTTTGGAGAAACCTGAAAATGTCTATCGGCCCCCATCCAACCTGACAGAGCTGAAGAGGTGAGGAGAAGAATGGCAGATAATTGCCAAATGCAGATGTGCAAAGCTTGTGGTATCATAACCAAAAAGAATTGAGGCTGTGGTGCTTAAACTAAGTACTGCGTTAAGGGTATGAATACTTATGGAATGCACTTATTTCAGGTGGGTTTTTTTTAAATAGCAATGTTGTCACAAATCTGTTTTTTGTTTTATCATTATGGTGTGTGGAGTGTAGACTGATGTGGGGAAAAGGTCATTTAAAGCAGTTTAACATAAAGCAACAACATAAAACATGAAAAAAATGAATAATTTTGCAATTCACTGTATATCCAATATAAGGTTTTTTCATGAATGCTTGAAATTAGTTTTGAAGGTACAGTGTTGGCCAAAATTATTAGAACACTAGTATTTTCACCAGCTAAAAAAATGGTTTTAAGTCTTTGGCTGAAGACTTCTTGAAGACGAATAATCTTTTGTTGTAGTGTGTCAGTAGGAAATATCAGTTTACATTTCCAAACATTCATTTTGCCATTAATTGTAATAATCCAGTGAGATTTTTGTTTGCACAAAGGGTCTCCATGATGCTTCAAGAAACCTACCTGCAAAGCTACCTGAAAAACGCAAAGGATGGTCACACCAAATGGTGATTTAATTTAGTTATTAGAAGTTAATTGATAAAGAAAATCTATTTATGACATGATTTTTGACAGCAACCTCATTTTACAGCATGTTTACACAAGTGCCTAAAACTTTTAACAGTACTGTAGGTTTCTTGAAGCATCTTGGAGACATTGCCACAGTTCTTCTGGATTTAGTCTGTCTCATTTCAGACAGACTGGATGATGATGGCAAAACGAATGTTTGGAAATGTAAACTGATATTTCCTACTGACACACTACAGCAAAAGATAGAAATAACTGACTTAAAACCATTTTTTAGCAGGTGAAAATACTAGTGTTCTAATAATTTGTCCACCACTGTAAATATAAACTGCCATATGAATTCTATTAAGTTTTTAAAAATGTTGAAACAGATTGAAAACTCCTGTCAGTTTCTTTTTTAAATATACTTGTCTATATATTTCATTCCTTCTGGAATGAGTAAACAGGATGATCTTGACTCATCTGTCTGGTTACTTACAATTCTGTGCATTACCTCAATTAAATATTTTAATATATATTAAAGTGAAAGTTGAGTTTTTTTCATTATGTTGAGTGCTCTGTCTAATGATAGTCAGAATCCTGAAAATTCACCTACACCTTGTCATCTACGCCCTACATGAATTTTTAAGTAAATGGGAATTTTGACATTGCTTCACCAAATTACTCATGCTATGTGTCGAGGCATTGCATCACTAATTTCCTCCTTAAACAGTCACACACACTAAGTTGCTCCTGTCAGTTTCTTTTTTAAATATATAAAGTTACTTGTCTATATATTTCATTCCTTCTGGAATGAGTAAACAGGATGATCTTGACTCATCTGTCTGGTAACTTACAATTCTGTGCATTACCTCAATTAAATATTTTAATATATATTAAAGTGAAAGTTGAGTTTTTTTCATTATGTTGAGTGCTCTGTCTAATGATAGTCAGAATCCTGAAAATTCACCTACACCTTGTCATCTACGCCCTACATGAATTTTTAAGTAAATGGGAATTTTGACATTGCTTCACCAAATTACTCATGCTATGTGTCGAGGCATTGCATCACTAATTTCCTCCTTAAACAGTCACACACACTAAGTTGTATCATGTAGTGCCTGGCTGTCGGAACAGGCTCTCCAGTCAGCAGCATTATGAGTCGCTTTAACCCAAAAGAGCTTGTTCAGAAATCTCAGGAAGCCAAAGAACAGGCGTATTGTCCCTACAGCAAGTTCAGAGTTGGAGCAGCTGTCTTAACAAGCGATGGAACTGTTTTCACAGGTGAGGACACGACAATTTCAACTAGTTAAGTGTTCTTATACATGTGTTTTTATTTGAATCCTACAAATACAGTACATACCATTCAAAAGTTTAGTTCAGTAAGATTTTTTAAAATATTTTTAAAAGAATTCTCTTATGCTCACCAATGCATTTTTGATAAAAAATACAGTAAAACTTTAATATTGTGAAATACTGTATTATTAAAATTTAAAATAATTTTTGTGATCAAGAAACATCAGTGTTGAAAATAGTTGTGCTGCTTAATATTTTTGTGGAAACTGATACAGTCTTCAGGATTTTTTGATTAATAGAACGTTCAAGAGAACAGCATTAATTTGAAATAGAAAGCTTTTGTAACATTTTAAATGTTTTTACTGTCACTTTTGATCAACTTAATGCATCCTTGCTGAATAAAAGTATTCATTTCTTTAAAGGAAAATCTTACTGACCCCAAACTTTTGAATGGTATCAAGCACCAAATAATAGGCCTACATATACTAAATAAATCCCAAAAAGAAACCAGACAGGCAATATGAGACATGAGTTTATATAAAAGTCTACAGTACTGTTTTCTTAACAGGTTGTAATGTAGAGAACGCCAGCTATCCCCTTGGACTCTGTGCTGAAAGGACTGCAATCTCTAAAGCTGTCTCTGAAGGATATATCAGCTTCAAAGTCATCGCAATTGCCAGGTATTTAAATATATAGCTATAATTAGGTCCATATACTGTATATTTGGATGCTGACACAATTTTCATAATTTTGGCTCTGTATACCACCAGAATAAAATTAAACTGAAACAATCAAGATGAAATTGAAGTGCAGACTTTAAGCTTTAATTCAAGGGGTTGAACAAAAATATAACAAAATGCTTAATAGGAATTAAAACCATTTTTATACACAGTCCACCCATTTTCAGGGGGCTCAGTTGTAATTGGACAAATAAATATAACCATTTTTAATATTTTGTTGAGAATCCTTTGCAGACAATGACTGCCTTAAGTCTGGAGCTCATGGACATCACCAGAGACTGGGTTTCCTCCTTTGTGATGCTTTGCCAGACCTTAAATGCAGCTTCAGTTGATGTTTGTTTGTGGGTCTTTCTGCCTTTACTTTGTCTTCAGCAAGTGAAATGCATCCTCAATTGGGTTGAAATCAGGAGATTGACTTGGCCAATGCAGAATAATCCACTTTTTTACCTTTAAAAAAGTTGGCTTTGCTGTATGTTTTGGGTCATTGTTCATTTGTACTATGAAGCGCCACCCAATCAACGTTGCTCCAGAATCTGGGCAGAGAGTATATCCCTATACACTTCAGAATTCTTCCGGCTGCTTCTGTCCTCTGTCACGTCATCAATAAACACCAGTAACCCAGTGCCACTGGAAGCCATGCACGCTCATGCCATCACACTGCTCCACATGTTTCACAGATGATGTGGTATGCTTTGGATCATGAGCTGTTCAAGCCTTCTCCATACATTTTTCTTCCTGTCATTCTGTTTATCTTAATTTCAGCCGTCCAAAGAATGCTTTTCCAGAAGTGGTCTGGCTTTTTACCATTTTTTTTGGCAAAGTCTAATCTGGCTTTGTTTGCACCTGGTGAACTCTCTGTATTTGCTCTTGTGAAGTCTCTTGATTGCAGACTTTGACAGTGACACGTCTACCTCCTGGAGAGTTTTCTTCTCTTGGCTGGATCTTGTGAAAGGGTTTTTCTTTACCATGGAGAAGATTCTCCGATCATCCACCACTGCTGTCCTCAGTGGACGGCCATGCCTTTTTATGTTGCTGAGCTCACCAGTGCATTTTTTTTTCTCAGAATGTACCAAACTGTTGATTTGGTCACTCCTAATGTTCCTGCTATCTATCTGATGGATTTGTTTTGATTATGAAGCCTAACAATTGTCTTTTTCACTTGTATGGAGAGATCCTTTGACTGCATGATGTGGGTTCAGAGCAACAGCTTCCAAATACAAATGGCACACTTAGAATCAACTCCAGACCTTTTACCTGCTTAATTGATGTAGAAATAACGAAAGAGTAGCCCACGCCTGACCATGAAACTGTAGAAACACACTCTCCTCTATGCGCACTAGACACTTTTCACACACACTGCTTTGTGTACATAATCCCACAAAAGACTCCGTAATAGGTGTGTTTACATGCTCATGCACTACAAATCATCTGCACTGTTCCCCAGCCAGCTGCTTGACTTACGATGTTTCTCTTTGCACATGTACAGGTTAGCTGTGTATAGGTACAGTGTTTATGTGAAGCATCCGTATAGTCTGTATTTTTTTAACTTATGTATAGGTATCACACACTGCTTTGTGTACATAATCCCACAAAAGACTCCGTAATAGGTGTGTTTACATGCTCATGCACTACAAATCATCTGCACTGTTCCCCAGCCAGCTGCTTGACTTACGATGTTTCTCTTTGCACATGTACAGTATTATGTGAAGCATCCGTATAGTCTGTATTTTATTTATTTATTTTTATTATTATTATTATTTTTTATTTTTATTTTTTTTATGTATGCATAGGTAAACATTTATATATAGTATATTCATAGTCAAAATCTGTCAGTAGGTTAGCTGTGTATAGGTACAGTGTTTATGTGAAGCTTATGTATAGGTAAACATTTATATATATACTGTATATAGTATATTTATAATCAAAATCAGTCAGTAGGTTAGTTGTGTATAGGTTTTTACTGCTTTACTGTATAGGTTTTTACTGTTTTACTTCATTGTTGTATGCCTGTATTTATGTAACACCGTGGTCCTGTGAGGCACGACATTTCGTTCCACTGTATGTCCCCACATGCAGCAGAATGACAATAAAGCTCAACTTGACTTGACTTGATGAAACGGCTTTTGAGTCAATTGTCCAATTACTTATGGTCCCTTGAAAAAGGGGGGAGGTACATATTAAAGAGCTGTAATTCCTTAGCCTTTCCTCCAATTTTGATGAGAATACCCTCAAATTAAAGCTCAGTGTGCACTTTAAGCTCATATTCATTATATAACTGCAACTCAAATATGTTTTGGTCAGCAGCTAAAATAATACAAAATTGTGCCTGTATCCAAATATATGTATTGGCTGACATTACTGTTGATTAATATTGCTGTTATGACCTGTCTTTTTTGCAGTGACCTTGAGGATTGCTTTATTTCACCATGTGGAGCCTGTAGGCAGTTCATGAGAGAGGTCAGTGCGTCTAAAAATAAAATTATGCTAACAGATAATTATTATTGATTTATTATTACTATTTATGAAGACATACAAATGTGGAGTTAAAATGTGATCTGTAAAAAGTCGTGAGTCAGCAATGACAAACTGCATTTGGAAATGCCTTTATAAATTTAGGTGTGGCTTATAACAAAAACAATTACAAACTAATGTAAGTAGGCTAATGCACTAGTCATGTTTCAGCTTCCATTGATTCTGTCACTTAACAGACTGGTTATGTTATCTCATCTGTCTTACAGTTTGGCTCACAGTGGGACGTTTATATGTCAAAATCTGATGGATCTTACAAACTGATGACAGTGGAGGAGCTCCTGCCGTGTTCATTTGGCCCCGATGACCTGAGAAAAGGAAAAAACCCTGTTGGCAATTCGAAATTGTAATAAAAATAAAGCTATAAGTCGTGTTACAAACCAGATGTGCAGTATAGATTTAAAATGTTTTGAATCGATGTATAGCTGTATTATTTCCCAATTAAAAATATATTTATATAATATTAATAAATATATACTGATAAACAGTGACCATATTCTGAACTGTTGTGTGGTTAATAACTGACTCACCCCTTCGAACTTTTTATTGATACCTGTATGTACTTTTATTGTGAAATACGTTTCTTATGACCTTTATTTTGAAAGCGACATCTCACGGACCAATGAGCGTTACATAAACACTGTCCTTGAGTAAATAATGTAGGGGATTTAAACATTCATAAAGAGATAAAAAGCATCGACATGAACATCCCAATAGTTTCAGCTGTGCAACAATATATAAATCAAAATTGGGAAAATGAACGAAAAGGGAGGCATTTATTTAAGATCCAGGAGCGTGTTGCTAAAGAGAGAGTAAGTTATGGAAATAGAAGAAAGGAGGTTATCTTATCTAGATTGAGAACAGGACATGTAGCATTAAATAACAGTTTGCACATAATAGGGAAACATGAAACAGGCAATTGTGATAAATGTGGACTACCAGAAACGGTTGAGCATGTTCTTTATGTATAGCGTATGAAAGGGAAAGACATCAGATGTTCCAAGAACTGGAACTGATGGGAATTAATAGTACCGGTATATCTCTAAAGACACTGTTAGGTTATGGGGTAATGCAATCAAGAATATATGGAGAATTGTTTAAGTATTTAAAAAAGACAAGATTAATGGAAAGAGTTTGAACTTAGAGTTATATTAATATTATTATTATTATTATTTTCTTTTATATATAATAGTTGAATAATTCATAGCTCAACCGTGTACGTTTCACACTCCAGATCAGTAGGTGGCGGACATGCACCTTTAACGTTGGTTTGCCAATCCGCCAAAAAACTAGAGAGAAGAAGAAGAAGAAGAAATAATGTAGGGAGAAGTTGGGTCGGTAACGGGCCCAGTTGTTCTCTGTCATCGTGAAATTTAGTTCTTTACTCGGCTCAAAATGTCAGTGAAGCATGCTTTCAGTCGGGGGTTGGAGCTGGGGAGGTCGCTTCTCCAGCTGGGGCTCTTCAAACCAGCCGGCCGTGTGGCAGCGAAGCTCCGCGGTGAGCGGCTGCGTGTGACCCGCTCGACCCGCACCGTCCAGCCGCAGACCTTCCTGCCCGCTCGGTTCCGCTTCTTCCGCCGGTCTCTCAGCCGGCTGGCCGCCCAGCTCCAGTCCGCGGCTTTCAGGAGAGGGGTTGGAGGTGGTGCTCCCAGAAACAGAGCTGTTTTCCTGGCTTTTGGTGTGGGTTTGGGGCTGATTGAACAGCAGCTGGAGGAGGACAGGACAAGCGCTGCTCTGTGTCAGGAGATACAGGTGAAAAACACCAACACATAAGAACACAACAATGACGACATTTGTATATCTAATAATAATGATCTAGCATAATAATAATTGAGCATTCCTGTAGCTCAAACAGTGGCATGGTCATGTTGATTAACAGAGAAGGCATAAAAAATGTATTCGCTTTGGTAATAATAAACGCCTGCCAAATGCATAAATGTAAAATAATTAAATAATTAAAATGTATATGGCTTCGCCATCACAAGAATAAGTTACATTTTAAAATGTATTAAATAGAAAACAGTTATTGTAATAATATTTTACATATTACTGTTTTTTACTGTATTTGTTTATCAAATAAATGCAGCCCTTCTTCCAAACTTTGACTAATAATGTATATATTATATATTATTATAATTTAACGTATAATATTACACTAATACACTTGTTATATTAATATAATATTATTAAAATGTTGCATTCTTTACTCCTTGTTGCATAAAACACTTATTACATGTAACATTGTGATATTACGTTCACAGTAAGTCATAAATGTAATTGAAACATAATTAAGAAAACAACAGGTTATTAGTTAACCTAGTCTGACTACAAAATACTGAACAGTAACAATAATTATCTATCGCATCAGGTTACTACTTTCTTCTAAAGTTCATTAGATCTAGTCAATTTTGCACAAGCACACATGCAAATGATATGCAGAGAGTATTATAAATATATGCACATTACAACATAGCAACTGTACCCATAATGCATTTATCATTAGTCAGAAATGCATGTTATTACATTGGAATACAACTTCTCTATTCATTTTCATTTAAATAAATTCAAGAAAAATTGTCAGTTGCAATTACATGTGTATTTACAGGCTTGTTTACATGTTTTTCACAATGTTTTTTCAATGTAGGCCGTATTCAGAAAGAAGAAGTTCCAGACCCCTCTGAAGTCTTTTACATTGGGGTACAAGTTGGAGGACTATGTGATCGGGAAACAGATCGGGAAAGGTTGCAATGCAGCGGTTTATGAGGCAGCGGCTCAATTAACGTATAATATTACACTAATACACTTGTTATATTAATATAATATTATTAAAATGTTGCATTCTTTACTCCTTGTTGCATAAAACACTTATTACATGTAACATTGTGATATTACGTTCACAGTAAGTCATAAATGTAATTGAAACATAATTAAGAAAACAACAGGTTATTAGTTAACCTAGTCTGACTACAAAATACTGAACAGTAACAATAATTATCTATCGCATCAGGTTACTACTTTCTTCTAAAGTTCATTAGATCTAGTCAATTTTGCACAAGCACACATGCAAATGATATGCAGAGAAAAGTAATATTAAATGAATATAATTAAATGAAAAAAAATATATTAAATATAAATAAAAAATGTAATTAATGACAATTCTTACTATATTTATTATAAAATGTATTTGTTGTAAATAAATATAAAAAATTAAAAAATTAATCATACAAATAAATAATAATGATAATAATTATTGTTATATTTATTTATAGTAAGTATATTTGATGTATTTGTTATAAAAATTATGATTGTAAAAAATAATTATTATTAGTATCATTGTTTATTTAGTACGGTGCTTATTTATTATGAAAATAGTAAAAAATTTATAATAATAATGTATATAATATATTTTATAAGAATGTGTTATATAATAATGTTTATGTATTAGTTACTGTTTAATTTGTAATATGTTAAATATATTTTTTACATGCAAACAAAAAACAGACCTTTAGACTCATTTTCTGATGAATGCTGCTTGTGGTCATTTTTTGAATCTGTAAAGTCATGATTGATGTGTCTGTGATGTAGTTACCCATGCAGCCTGCGGCAGTACCTGGGGGTGTGTGTGCCGAACCGGATGCAGGCATCTGTCATGCTGCTGCAGCTGCTGGAAGGAGTGGATCACCTGTGCAAGCAGGGCATCGCTCACAGAGACCTCAAATCAGACAATGTGCTCCTGGAGTTTGACAGTAGTAAGAGTCATTAGACAGGGCAGACAGCATTTAATGCGAATGTAGACGTGCAGCATTTTGCCAGCATTAGGTAAATGCTTTAATCACATTAATTGTAACATTGCTGTAATGTGTTTTGATTTCAAAGCCAGGTGTCCCACACTGGTGATCACTGACTTCGGCTGTTGTCTGGCAGAGGATTTGGGCCTCAAACTGCCCTTCAACAGCTGCTGGGTTAACAGAGGGGGAAACGCCTGTCTGATGGCACCTGAGGTGAGAAACGTCTGGAATAACCCTTGAAGTGTCAGGGCTCAACAATAAAGATTTGTTCTGCTTGCCTTTTCAGGCCAGTAATTCAGATTTCTGCTTGACCTGTAAACATTTTTACTGGCATTTTAATTTAAATGTTATATTTCCATTTATAATTGTAAAGTTGAAATTTTAAAATGTATTAGGAAAAGGGGACAGCAAGAATGTTTTAGTATTTTTTTTAAAGAAGTCTCTTGCAAGGCATTTATTTGATTATTACTGAACATTTTTTATTAATCAAATGAAATGTATTTATGATTCCTTTGTCCTCTAGGTGGCCACAGCAGTTCCAGGTCCAGGGGTGATGATAGATTACAGTAAAGCAGACGCCTGGGCTGTAGGGGCCATCGCCTATGAGCTCTTCGGTCAGCCGAACCCCTTCTACAGCTCAGAGGGACTGGAGAGCCGCACTTATCAGGAACAACAGCTTCCTCCACTTCCTGCTTCTGTACCTGATGATGTACAGCTAGTAGTGATGCTACTGCTACGCAGAAACACGCGCAAGGTATAATATTCACCAAGAAACACTATCTTATATACTGGCAAAGGCCATTTTTATAATATATACATACATACACACACACACACATACATACATACATACATATACATATATATATGTTAAAAAATATGTGTTTGTGATTATGTGATGCTTTCATGTATATTTGGGTCATAAAAAAATACAACTTGTAAAATTATATTTTAAGTAGTCACATTTCAGGAACACTTAATGGTCCTAAATATTATTTTTAAGCAATACATTTTGACAGATTTCATCTTCATTCAGATCATTATTTTAATAATAATAATAATAATCATTATTATTACTATAATAATTATAGTAGTAATAATGCATGCTTTATTGTTGTAATATTACTATCATGTTTTTTAAGCAAAAATAAAACCATAATTAAAAATAATTTCTGCATATCAGTTATTGGACACAACATAAAAATAATCTGTATCAATCATAAAAATGATGCTGTAAAATCTGTCAGGCTCTGGTTTACCCATAGAAAAACTCAACAACACTTGAATATTAAAACTGAGAAGATAAAGCAGTTCATTGACTGATTTATTTCATAATGTCTCTGATGGTTTGCAGCGCCCCAGTGCACGTGTGGCAGCTAACATGCTTCACATCAGCCTGTGGGGCAAGCGTGTGTTGGCCAGCTTGGATCGGGTCAGAACGGATGAGCTGAAGGACTGGCTGCTGTGTCAGTCTGCTGTGGTGCTGCTGAAGGGTCGTGGGTCCGGCGGGAGCAACGTGGAAGCCGAACTCCAGAGATGCTTCCTCGCCAACATAGACCTGGAGGACCTCCGCGCCGCAGTCAGCTTCCTCATGTATGGACAAGAGCAGTGGAAATCCCTGCTAGCGCACTACACTGTGTGAGAGTGAGTGTTTACTAGAGAAACAAGCACAGCTTTCATTTTTTGTAGATTGTGGAAGCACTTTAATTTTAATGTCCATCACTGACATATTTTGAAATGATGGCAGTTTATGCATTTGCACTTTTCACTATATATATATATACACATTAAGAATACGTTATGCTGTTGATGACTCTTTAGAATAACAGCTTAAACCAGGTACAAATTCATGCCTAATGTAATGCATTAATATTCACAGTATACTGAATATTGCTTAAAAAAGTAGGCAAATGAATGCAGAATAAATTATATAGTTGGTGTTTTTCTGACAGGATATTCAATACAAATTTGATTTTAACTTTTGGCAACTGATTGCATCATGAAATGTGTTACTGGAGCAGAGTTGGTTGGAGGGGTTGAAAAAGCAATTGGGATTTGTGATGTCACTTCAGAGATTGAGCAAGTGATTATATTTGGATGAATTCGCTATTACAATCTTTGGAATAACTTGTTTTGATGAATTGTATAATATTGTGCATGCGCATTAAAAGTAAACAGGGTGAATTTTGAATGCATGTTGACTTCATGGTACATAGCCTGGAAAGGAGATAAATGGCAAAAACAATAAAGAATTTGAATAGTATTGAAATAATGTGTTCATTTGCATGTGGCAATAAAACAGTTTGGCGATAAATTACACGTTAATATTTACACTGCAGTATATTATCATTGTGATATTTGCATTGCTTTGGAATAAATTGCATTGCCCAAGAAGAATGGGTATAGTGCACCAGTCCTCGCAGAAATGCATACAACATTATATATATAGAGAGAGCGAGAGAAATTTAATTTATTGCTCACATTGCAGAAAAACGTGATTATCCTAAAATAGTAATTTCAAAGTAATTTTTTCTTTTGAAATATGACCTGTTTTTGACAGATTTTGTCAACAAATCTGCATAAATAAAAGTAGTTTGTATTTAATAATAATGATAATTATCATCATTATTGTTAATAATAATAATGCACATTCAATTCTTGTAATCTTTTGTTTTGAAGTTTTTGTTGTTTCAAAATGCAGAAATAAAATTAATTAAAAATAATTTTTGCATAACAGTTATTGGTTGGACTTGGACATAAAAATAATCAGTATCGTTCATTAAAATGTAATTCATAACGTAGTATGCATACTATACCCATTCCTAGTAGGAGCAGTAGGGAGAATGATTGGGAAAAACACACAAGAGTCCAGCCCCTCATCGCGCCAGGGGCGAAAGTCAAAGTTCATTTTGAATCGTCTGAACTAATAGCGACAGATAAAACTTTGCGTTTATACATTTGCGAAACCTTTCCGTTAAGAAGCCGGACCTCTGCGCTCGGTTGTTTGCACAGGCGGGGTGTGTTGCATTGCTTTCTTCACTCATTTCTGCAGGAGTTGGTTTCACGCTAAGCTGATCATGCTTTCTTCGATCAAAATCGTTAGTAAAACTCGAGCAGTCTTTGGTGGATCTCAGGTTTTTAAAACGTGTGCTTCTCAGAGAGTCGTAAAACAGCGAAACTTGGACGGGGATCAGAGCAATGTGTCTTGCACGCGCCGAATGTCCGGGAAAGGCTTCAATGTCCCGCCGAGCGCGGAGTTTGTGGCGAGAGTCAGCGGAATCGCGACTATGTGCAAGTTACCGTTTCAGAAAACAGCGGACGGGCTGGACGCGGCGTTTGTCGGGGTTCCCATTGACACCGGAACATCCAACCGTCCCGGTGCAAGGTAATACTGAACAATCATATATCACACACAGTCATGAGTGCCACAAAAATGTCTGCGACAGTTTGGCATTGTGTAATATGAATACACAGAAATTGTATTTGCTATAGTATGCTATAGCACAGCACAGGGGTGCCCAAACCTGGTCTGGAGATCTACCTTCCTGCAGAGTTCAGTTCCAACCCTGATCATAATTATCACATGCTCCTTCAGATCCTAATTAGTTGGTAAATCATACATTTTTATAGACATAGGTATATTTTCTGTATTTTTAAATATTTTATAACATTTCATATTTTCAAAAAATTACTAAAAATAATTTAAATATTAATAATATGTAATAAAGAATTGTAATTCAGTTTTAATATTTGTATTTAGATATATGCTTATAATAAAACATACTATTTATACATGTATTTTATATATTTTTAAATATAGGCCTATATTTAGTAAAACCTACTATATATATATATATGTATGTAATGTATTTTCTTTATATAATTGTATAATATTTAATATATTTTCACAATTTTTTTAATGAATTGTAATTCAATTTAAAAAAAAATATTTGTAACAATATTTATATCAAGACATGCTTATAATAAAACGCATACTATATATATATACACTACCGGTCAAAAGTTTGGTATCGGTAAGACTTGTAATGTTTTTTAAAGTAGTCTCTTATGTTCATCGAGGCTGCATTTATTTGATCAAAAATACAGAAAAAAACAGTAATCTTGCAAAATGTTATTACAATATAAAATAATGGTTTCTATTTGAATATCCTTTAAAATGTAAATCAATGTTGGCATCAGTTGTGCTGCCAAATATTTTTTTGGAAACTGCGATACTTTTTTCAGGATTCTTTGATGAATAAAAAGTTAAAAAGAACAGCATTTATTCAAAATATACGTTTTTTCTAACAATATAAATCTTTGCCAACACTTCTTATAAATTTAACACATCCTTGCTGAATAAAAGTTTTAATTTCTTTAAAAAAA